CCAATAGCTAGCCGCCACGTATGCCTACATTTAGAACCGGCCAATAATGTGGCACAAATCTAAATACAAATGGCAGGAACTCCTTTGCATCGTGCATCACTATAATGCAAAAGGAATGCACTATGCAAAGAAAGCTACAGAACTGGCAGGAAAAACTCCTGCACACAGGTTCTTAATTGCAACAGAACACTCCACCGTGCAAAAGAGCTGCAATTTGGCGGGAACATGATTTAGCGATGCCGAAGCACACACGAACAAGAAAAACCACAACTTTGGGTTGTGACAAACAGTTCCCCCACTGTGAAACTGCATGCCCAGGGCATGCTTCAAGGCGCTCAGTCCTGAGAGCATAAGTTGGGGTGAAAGGTAAGTAATTCATGGGAAATTTTCAGTTTCACTTCCAGCTCTGCAGGCAAAGGAACAATGTCTTGGGTTTCACCTGTCACTAGAATGCTAGTCCTTCTCTGTAGCTATTTTTGATCAGTAATGAGTGACACTGAAAGATTAAATATACGTAGCTGTAAAATGAAATGTAAAACCATACTGGAGGTTTAATAGGCCATCCTTTAAAAATGAAGTATTTGCCATCTACCACACTATTTAGTTAAAGCATATGGTCTTCGTTATAATATTCTGGCAGTCCACACACTATACTGCACATACATATACTGACTTTACAGATGGTAAGGAGATGTAGTTTAAAAGACCAGACTACATTGCTGGAGGTGTAATCACCCTAACTCATTGTGGTCAACCACAAGACAACACCTTACCCTGCCACAGGTTATTAAAATACACTTGAGAGATCCAACAAAGAGGGAGACCTGACCTTCTACAGAGGAAGGCAAACCCCCGACCCCCAACCCATACCAATCTATGTGGTGCAAATCCTTCCTGGCCCCAGATATGACAATTGGCCTGACCCTGAGTAGAAGGGAAAGACCCTAGCCAGGAACCTCCAGGTTTGAGTCCCAACAGGAGCACTGGCACACCCAAGTCAAAATCCCCAGGCCTTTGCTGTAGCCAATACCCAATGTTTCTGTGGAACACTTAAAAGAAACACCCCTAACACATAGCAGCAGGAGGGGAAAAATTCCCCTCATGTGGCAACCAACAAAACCCAGAACCATGGGAAATGCCTATAGCAAAACATAGGAATAATTATTCCTAGATTAACTTTGATCCTACCCAGTCTCTTCTTGAACACTTTCAATGATGTCTACAACTTCACCAGGCAATCTATTCCATAAAATAGAACATGAAGTAGTATAAAATGCACAAGTTTTTGAGAAATCTCTTAGGTCATGTAAAAATTTACAATCACAGGTTAACATTAAACAGGAGCCAAGACAAGCAGAGATTGCTGGGTGATATCTGTGACCTGTGTTACACAGGATGTCATATTAGAAGACTTGCACTTGTGCACTGCGGTGCTGCAATGGGCTCTTAAGTTCTTCAGATCTATGAACATTCATCTTGCTACACATGATCATTATTATTCAATGCTGACAACATCTTTGCTTACAATCACATTATACTGCAGATTCTGATCATTTTTACTTCATTTTGTGTTTTTATAAACAAAATCATGTAGAATTTTGTTTCATGACATTTACATATAGTATAGTAGGGCTGTGCAACGATCTTTATAGAGACAACTGTGAGTTGGACTACAGTGTTGCTATTAAAGTTCTACTAAGAGAAAATGCTATCAACAGGCATCTAGGCTGTCACAAGGGCAGAAAAAGACAGTCAGCAAGGAACAAGAGAGCTCTAGATGAGAATTAAAACTGCTTTCCCTTGCCCCTGAACCTACCTGCAACAGCATTTGGAAACATCAAGGGTCTTGATACAAGTATAAATAATTTTTAATTTAAAGAGTCCTTAGCAAAGATGATAACCAAACGCAAAATTTTTTTGCAAATTATACGAGTAATATTCACTGCTTAAACGGTCTTTTAAATACACATGAGCTAGATGCACCCTGTGGACTTCATTTAAAGAAAAGTTACACTGGTATGGAACTGATGCCTCCAAGGTGTCCATTTTGAACAGTGTTTCCAACGAGACTGATATGCTTATATTGATATACGGCGTATAAAATACAGTCTTATTTATTAAAGATGACAGATTAACATATTGTTAAATCAAAGCCTATAAAAAAAAAAAATCAGGACAATTCTTTACTTAGGAAGCTAATGTTCTTATCACATTAATGTGTTCCCTACCCCACAATGTCAATTCACTTCAACTTCACAACTCCTAGATATGTGAAGCAGTACAGTGAAGTGCAAAACTTTGCACAAAAGCAGAATAATGTCTTTCCTACATCAAGTGTGTGAAAATAGGCTTCACTGGGATTGAATGAGGCCTAGAGAAGGAACCAAAAGGTGAAATGGTTCTTACATACAGCACTCTCAAAAGACTCTGGTTAGGAATTTGGGGCAAGGTTTCAGAGTAATCCTGTCCTTATGAAACAGTCTACAAGGGGTTCTCTTCAGGTGGATGTAATGGCTACTTAAAAGGCAGTCTGCATAGAAAGGAAACATAGGGAATGGCTTGCTATGAGGTGAAGAGGGGGACTGCATGAACCCTATCAATGCTACATGGAGTTCCCAAGCAGAAGGGGGCTAAGAGGGAGACCCCCATGAACCGCATCAATAGTACATGAGGTCCCAAGCAGAAGGGGGCTAGCAAACTAGGGAATAACTCTGATTAAGGTCCTGAAGAAATCTGGCCTCTGTTGGGTAAAAAAAACCGTGTATGCAAACACTGTTGCTGGATAGGCCAACTCTGTTCTTTCTGCCCTTCAAAAAGGGACACAAAAGATATCTAGGGCATTGGTGTGGCTCCTAATGGATGCTACCGGCCAAAGGAATCCAATCTGAAGTGGATAGGGCATACGTGCACCAAAAGTGAAATCTCTACAGACAAGTCGTCTGAATGCTCAACTCAAAACTGCCATCAGGGGTTGCGCTTTTTGTTCAAACTCAAAAACATTTTTATTACAAACGGTTACTGGGAAGGAAATAATTATTTTCCATATAAATTACCTCCCGAAAGACTCCCTTCTTTAAAAAACTAAACAAAAATCTACTAAGATGCCTGCATGATCTTTGTTATGCCCTTGTCTTCAGAGAGTCTACTTTTTTCATTTCTAAAAGCCTACATGAACTACGAGCACTTAATGAAAATTATCATTTTGATAGTGAGGTGTATGGGAATGTAACTGTAAATATTATATTTATCTGCTATCTAAAGATGATTTCTAGTCACACTGTTCATACCATTTCAACTCTGAAATCTGACTAGGTAACTCTTTCCAGTTAGTTTACTGGAGCCGAGAAATGTAGAAGAATCATAGTTATAAGACCAAGTTATTAGACCGTAATTATGAGTTTCCAAATAAATGTGATAACTATTGTCTGTATTAGTCTTTCTGAATATTGCGAGTCCTTACAAAAAAACCCAGCTTTTAGAGAGATAATTAGAAAGCTGATCATTCTTCATGTGTATCCAATCCCTGAATAAGCTTTCTTCCAAATCAATTATTCTCAGTAGATTTCCTACTACTACTAGACCAACTTTAGGGTTTTTTTTCTTCCAGGTTTCTGGAATTATATAAAGCAACTTTGGATATTTATGCTCCAGTTCCTTACCATACTTTACTTTGTTTTGGCTATCAAAATTAGTATTACACCATTATAAAGATAGAATGTAAGTACACATACCCTGCATAAAGTTTAAAAGTCCACCTTACTTTTACAACTTACACCATTGCTTGATTCAGCACAAACTAATAAAAGCCATATTAGCAGCGAAGCTACAAGCTGGCCACCTCACACAATTGTGGGACTAAAGCCTTTGTGATTAGAAAATCCTACTTACTGGAGGCGGTACACTACAGACGGGGAGGTGCTGTCCACTGAAAACCACAGAACACCCTGGGACCTGCTGTGTACTGCAAGCTGGTATGTGCTGGCCTGTGCAAAGTGGAATCCCATGTGGTGCCACCGTTGTTACTGTATATGAGACGGGGACTGTGCCCTGGTGAATCTGCATTGAAAGGTAGACAATTCTCAATAATTTTGTTAATTTACACCATTTAGATGGGTCTGAACAGTTACGGTATGATATCCAAAACAAATTCGCACTTACACCCCAGAAAAATACATGTTATACTTCAGGTATAAAATAAAGTTACAGATCTGTAATTCTTGTTCTCTAAAAATATTGTCTCCAGTGGATTGTTACTCTTGGATCAGTGCATTCTATACAAAACCAAGAGGGAACTCTCAAAGCAAAATGTTAAATCCTCTGAGGCACCATTATAGGTACTAAAAAGCATTTCAAATTCTTGTAAGGGCCCACTCACATACTGACGTTAGCGCCTTACAAAAAGGAGACAGTAATTCCTGCATAAAAAAAACAATTAAAGAAAAAAAAAAATCTACAAGTAGCTAAAGAATCTTTCCAACTCTGAGGCAGTAATGTGTGGATGAAAATCCAGAGATTTGTATCTTCAAAGAACAAGAACTTCAGATTAGCTTCGTTTTTCTCCAACAATGACCATCTCTGTAGATTCCCACGCTGAGACTGAAGCTCAAGAAATGTCTTTAAGTCCCACCATTTGGAAGTTAACAGCCAGGAACAGCCCAGTATGGAAATGAGAGTTGGTTTAGAGATGGCTACTCTCCTGAATTTGGCATAACATGCAGAAGCCAAATTAACAGTAATGCTGCACACATGACCAATTAGAATTCCAAGCCTCAGCTTTCACACATGTCTGTTTAAAGAATTTTTGGAGGTCCACAGTTTAAGTGACTGCTGCCCTAGCACTGTCCCAGGTAACAAATGGAGATGCTTTGTGACAGGGTTAGCAGAGACTTACTTCTAGACAGTGGCAGCAGTGTCAGGTGAGTATCCAGAAAGGACTATATTCTTACGGTACAGACAAACTCTGATATTTAGGAAGAAATAAATGTACTCCCTTCCCAAAGCAGATCAAGGGCCAAGCATCACCTTACCATGGCACCATTGACATTTGGTCAGACAGGATATTTAGTGCAGATGGCTCAGCATTTTCAATCATACTCCTCCAATTCTTTGAATGGGGCAGCATCCCTGGTTGAGGAACACTGCTGTGCTGCCTTGACTTACCACAGTGCTTCTCAACTGGGTGTTGCTACCTCCAGCTAAAATTGCTCCATGTGTCAGCTGCATAGCCAGCCTAGGAAGGGCTGCAGCATGTGTTCATGCTCCTCCTGCATTAGGGCTCTCTGATAACCCTAAAACAGAACTGGGTCGGGTAGGTGGAACCATCATACCTGCCTATTTCTGAAAGGAGCTGGAATGGTAAAGGCTACAGCCTGAGCCCATTTCATCTGCTTTAGGGTTATCAGAAAACCCTAATGCAGTAGGAGTGTGTGCATGCCACTGCCCTGTGTCAGGGGTAGTTTTACCTGGGCACCTGCATCATGGCACCCCAATTGAGAACCACTTAGAGGGTACAGAAGCGGTGTGGTGGGACCCTTTCTTTCTCCAGGTTTATCCCCATATAGTCACATCGCTCAGAATGGGATGAAGAATTTGGTCACCATTTGAAATTAAGATTCTAAGAAGTTTAGGAGGCCACCAGCTTTAGACTAGTGTACGTAGATCTCATGTTGGCATGCAACTGCCTGCTTATCTGAGCAGCGCTTTGCAGGAAGTACACAGAAAACCAATGATCTGTCACCTGCATGAACTATAAGTTTATGTACAAAGTGGTGTTGTTTTTCAACTTAAACTCTAAACGTTTTGTAATCTGACTACTGGACAAAACAACTCTCTCTCTCCCCTTAGATGCCGTGTAATGGCAGCCAACAAATGCACTCCAGCTATAGTCCCTTTCGCATGAACAGGACAGGGTTATACTAGACATTTTCTGTAAAAGATACTTGAGTCTAGAACCTGTTCCACAGCCTGGTCTCTCAGAACCAAACATGGTTAACTTTGAGGATATACTGCAAAGATCAGCTTCCTACTTGGGCAGGGAGTAGATGAAGAGTAGAGTGACCAATTTGGTGGTGAAATAAAAAGGCTTTCAAGTGTTCTATTATCATATCAGCAGTTAATTCTCTGTATTGTGAATTCTCTTTTCACATGGTATATTTTAACTCTGTAAAAGCACCTATAGTCAAGGAAAGGTACTTCATATACAAAGATACTCTAGCCTCATCTCATTATTTCACAACACCTATCAGAGGCCCTCAGAACCATGGTAATGGATGCCTTGGCAAACTGTCCTCTATTAGGCTTTGATATTTTTATAAACAGTATTTTGTGACATTTTTATTGTATTGTGCAGCTCCCAGGTCACCACAAGTTTTAAAAGGACTTGCCAACAAGAGGCAGCCAGGAGAAAGCAAGAGTGTTACCATCCTTATTGCCAACTACCTAGAGGGTTTTTTGTTTTGTTTGTAAGACTTAGAAAAAGGCAGTGTCCTCCAAATGGTCAGCTTTTATGCTGCTAGTATTCTTACCTGTTCATGAATGTCAACCATCACTGCATTTTGCTGCGGTGGGTGAGCAGCCGGGTGCAACATACGAGGGGATACATTCGGGGGATGGAAGGCGCGGGGCTCTTCTATTGCTTGTTGCTGTCCATATGGAAGATGGTGATAGTTTTCATCTTGACTAATAGAGTTATGTCGAGACAGACGATCCCTTCTTGCTCTCTGGCGTCTAACAGGAGGACTGTGAACATATTAAAAGAAAGGCTATGTACATACTGTGTACCTCAGGCAGTAACTGAAAACATACAATAAACATGGCCTCTAATACAGAGGTCAAATCTATATCACACATTTTAGCCCCGCATTGTAATGTCAGTCAAGGATGCGATATATATATTTTTAAACTGATAGACATACTGATAACAGCCTAGAGCAGATATAACTACCCAGCGTAAAAAGTACTTGAACAGGTACAGTTTATAGCAGTGTGGGGAACTGACATGAAGCTTTTAAAGAAAATAACATTTAACATTAAGTCAAACACTGCATAGCTGGGTTTTTTTAAAGCTAGATTTAAATTAAAAAAAAAGCTGGATTTAAAGCTAGATTTGGTAACTTTAACTTAGAATTCCTGTGCACAGATGTACCTGCAGCTACAGTCTTTAGTTATGCAACCATACAGCTATTTCACTAGTCCATGTGCCCTATTTGAGCAAAGAATTAACAGTTACCACTCAGCAACATGACAGAATATTGTGCCTCCTCTGTACTGTTCAATGCACAGAGCTATTGGTTTATTTATTGCTAACTAACAAATATGTCTTCAGAGTAGGGTGTGGATAACTTTCTCACAAGCCTTTCTATGGCACTCTTCACTACAGCATCTTAGAGAGTTTCATAAAAACGTCTTTTCAAAGCATACCAGTGAGGTAAGCTGCCAGCATTGTTTCCAGTTTACAGATGGGGAAACGAGGTACAAAGATTTGCATCAAAAGCATCCATTAAGTTTTGGATGCCCAATTCAAGACATCTAGGATACAATTATGTACTATTACATATTCTTTATATACGCAATTCACAGCTTCCATTGACTTCAGTTGCAGCTGGAAGTGCTCAACATGTCTGCAAATCAGACTCCATGGTCTCAAGTCTGGCCCCAGAGAATGGGAAACATAATTAATGACCACTTGTGAAGAGTCTGGCTGATGCAACTTGCCAGCATCACAGGAACTTTGCTCCCAATTTCCAAAGAAAAAAAAATTCAATTGCCCAAACTAGGAGAGCATTCCTTCTCTTGCTGCAGTTCCTTATTTCATTCGCTGCACACTTTCCAACTTCCCCAACCATTATAAACACTGAACTAGACAAGTTTTCTTCAATACTCAATCCTTGTTCACTCCTGTAACAGGTCCATTCTCTGTATTGAAAGAAGCAGGGCTCCTGTGGCAAAAATAGCATGCAATCATGCAATGCAAATCATTTGTCCTTGGTACCTACACAGCCACCATCATCACATCACCTGTAAGTCTTGTCTACACTTATAAGCCAGGTAACCCAAAGTAGCCAAGTAGGCTCTATGTCAAAAGAAGCTTTTAAAAGTCTATAAAAACTACATTACTACTAAAAATACACTTGTTAAATGTTGTTAAAGGAGAGAAGTTATTAATTTGCAACCTTACTGTATATATTTAATATTGAAGGTAGTAAACACTCAATTCTGGCATATTCAAGTTGCATCCTAAAACTTGCTGCACAGTACTATATAAGAAGTCCTATCATCCATCCATCGTTCTTCAACTAATATCACTGCAAAACCTACAACATATAATTAAGGACTTGTTTAGAAAAATTCTAGGAGTGGTTAGAGCCAACAATTCCAACATTAAATAAAAATTCCTGTCACTCCTAATATTCTTCTTAAGATGGGGTAGATTTTTAGCTCCACTTCTGTTTCTACTCTTTAGTAAGCAATTCAAATTTTCTGCTAAAGAACCAGAAAGGGAGGGGGAAAGCATAATTAGGCAGCATGGAACAAAGTTTTCTGAAACAACCTTTCACAAAAAAACCAAACCAAACCAAACCAAAAACTGTATAAAGGTTTCTCCCAAGTATGCACATCAGAACTGTAGAGAAATATCACTTACTTTGGGCAAAACTGAAAGCTTCCAAAATTGTAGCTTTTGAAGCTAACATGGAATTACTGAGAATTTCTCATAAAAATAATACAAATCTGTACTTAAGATATCATATTGCTACTGCAGTAGCACTCAAGACTTTTTATAAACAGCAAGGCTGGGTTCCACTGTGCTAAGGGCTATACAAATAGAGTAAATGACCACCTCCAGCCTCCAAAAATTAACAACATAAAAAACCCTAAATGGGAAGAGAAGGGGGACAGAAGAATAATTACGCCAGAACATGCACTAGTCTCTGATAGGCAGTGGTAATGATCACAGCTGTTCATACCTGATGATCCTTGTTCTCTGTAATTCCTTTGCAAACAAGGGTGATTTCTTCTATCAACTATTTAAAGATTCTAGAAGGGGTGTAGTGTACCTATCAAGGGAGTGGTTTTGGTAGAGAAGCATGAAGGACACAAGACTGAAGGAGGTCTGGAAGTTGCAGCACAAGGGCGAAAGAGGTGAAGAAGGAACAATTTGTAGCTCCCTCCTCCCAAGGAACAGTAGGAACCCCTATTCCAGCAGCTGAGAAAAGACGACACCTGCTTGTGCACTATATACTATTTTCTGATGTTTACATCTATTTTGTTTTGTTTTGGAAACAAAATGGAAAAAAAGCCACACTGGTGCTGGAGTACCATTTGGATGTGCAGTGCCTACAAAATCTGCTTAAAAACTGATGGAAATTCACAGGAAGTAGTGCAAAATAACTTCATTTATAAAGCAGAATCATAGTATCAGTACTTGAGGTCAAAGGGACCTAAACAGATCATCAGGTCCAACCCCCTGCCCTAGGCAGGAATGGGTGCCAGGATCATATCGCCCCAGCCAAATATCTGTCCAGCCTCCTCTTGAAGACCCCCAAGGTAGGAGAGAGCACCACCGCACTTGGGAGCCCATTCCAGAGCCTGGCAGCCCTAACTGTAAAGCAATGTCTCCTGATGTCCAGCCTGAACCTTCTCTAACAATTTGTGGTCGTTATTCCTAGTAACCCTGGGTGGTCCCCGGAGGAACAGAGCCTCCCCCAATTCCCACTGGTCCTCCCTGGTGAGTTTGTAAATGGCCACCAGACCCCCTCTCAGCCTTCTCTTGTGGAGGCTGAATAGGTTCAGGCCCTTTAGCCTCTCCTCGTAGGGCCTGCCCCGCGACCATATAGGTGGCCCTCCTCTGGACCCTCTCAACGCTAGCCACATCCCTCTTGAAGTGCGATGCCCAGAAGCGACGCAAGACTCCAACTGCAGCCTGACCAATGCCACAGAGGGGAAGTATCACTTCCGCGGACCTGCTTGGGATGCATCTGTAGATGCACGACAAGGTGCAGTTAGCTTTACTGACCGCTTCCTCGCATTGGCAGCTCATGTCCATCCTGGAGTCAACAATGACTCCAAAATCCCTTTCTGTATTGACAAGAAGGGTGTTCCCCAGCCTACAGGTGTGTTGCTGGTTCCTTCTCCCTAGATGCAGCACCTTGCACTTGTCTGTGTTGAATTCCATCCTATTCTCATCCACCCACCTCTGTAATTTGTCTAGATCTAGCTGGATTTTGTCCCTCCCCTCCAGCATGCCCACCTCGCCTCACAACTTGGTGTTGTCAGCGAATTTGGACAGAGTGCATTCCACACCCATATCTAGATCATATAACGGCTACTGAACTTACTTTACTAGAAAAGATATTTATACCATATAGTACCTGAAAGACCCAACCCAGACAAGAGCCCCACTGTGATAAGCCTGGTACAGACTGGGTAGTTTCAGCTAAAGACATAGGACAAGACAGGAAAAAGGTGTATGAATTAAAGGGCAGTGGTCAAACTGGAAACACAGGCTCTTCCCTTATTCACAGTCTCTAAGAAAGTAAGAATTGACATACTGGGTCAAACCAATAGTCCATTTAGCTATCTACCACCTCCACAGGAAGCTACTCCTGAAGTTCCGATTGCATTTCTCCCCTAAACTTTTGTTGTATGCTCTCTTCATTTGCAGCCCAACAAAGTCCTGAGACCTCCTGATCAACCTTCTCTTTGCTCTGGCCAAATATGCCATCTACCACACCAGGAAGGACCTGGCTGGGGGGAACCTAGGTAACTGTGGGGCTGTTTTCCTGTCATTCCTCTGTGAGTATCTTCTGCAGGCAGTTTCACTGGGCAGTATCCATAGTTTCTTCGCACATGTTTGAGGGGCAATGGGTGCTGGCCAGTGTTCTCTGCTTGGCAAGCCACTTGGAACCCTTAACCTATAACTTTTGCTCCCATCCTGTTTTTTCATTTGTTGTCCCAAGAATTCAGTTCCTGCACAGTTAGTGAGCTCCTTTGACTAAAGGAGACCTATGGTTTCCTGTGCAGTGAATAGGTCCATCTCCGACAGTGACAGGAGTGGATGTTTTAGGAGAACATTGAACTGGGTAGCTCTAGTACGATCTCTGCCTTATTCATTACCCTCCCTGGCATTCACCATCACTGGTTTAGAAATGCCAGAAGATAATAACTGTTAAATAGATCAGTCTGAGATTTAATAGAGACATCATCCATGAATTTGTCTAGTCCCTTGTTGAACCTGGCTGTATTATCTATCTCTATAACCTACTGTGGTAATGAGTTCCAACAGTTCACTATGCACTGTGTAAATAAAATACTTTTTCTTGTTAGGTTTACACCTGTCCCCTGCTAATTTCAGCTGGTGCCCTCTAATTCTATTTTACAGATTTCTATCGTGTCCCTGTCCCCTCTTTCCTCTCCCCCCAACCTTTTATTTTCCCAAACTGAGAGTCCTAGCCTTTTTTCTCCTGGTATGGAAATTGTTCCAGGCCCCTATCCCTTCTCTGTACCTTTTCAAATTCTACTATGCCCTTTTGGAGATGCAAAGACCAGAAATGCACACAATATTTAAGATGTGGGTGGCACCACAGATTTGTACAGTGGCATGATGACATTTTCTGTTTGGTTTTTAATTCCCTTACAATGCACAGTGTAAAATTACTTCTGTTGGTTGCCACTGCACATTGAACTGCTGTTTTTAAAGAACTATCAATGACGACTCCGAGGCCTCTCTTCTGAGCTGTAAG